GTTACACCAAGGTACTTTGTGTCCTTTATGGCTATTGTGAAGGGTATTGTTTCCCTAATTTCTTTATCTTTTTTTTTATTTCTCCCCGGACCCAACTGTCACTGAGTAGCGAGTTGTTCAGTTTCCATGTGTGTGTAGGCTTTTTGCTGTTTCTGCTGTTCTGTGGCTGAAGGTGTTTATCAGCTCTAGGAGTTCCCTAGTAGAATTTTTGGGGTCACTCATATATACTATCATATCATCTAAAAACAGTGATACTTTGACTTCTTCCTTTCCGAACTGAATTCCCTTGATCTCCTTTAATTGTCTTATCGCTCTAGCAAGGACTTCAGATACTATGTTGATGTATGGAGAGAGTGGCAGCCTTGCCTTGCCCCTGATATTAGTAGGATTGATTTAAGTTTCTCTCCATTTAGTTTTATGTTGGCTATAGGCTTACTGTATATTGCCTTTGCTATGTTTAGATAAGTGCCTTTTATCCCTGATCTCTCCAGGACTTTAAACATAAATTAATGTTGGATTTTATCAAATGCTTTTTCAGCATCTAAGGAGATTATCATGTGGTCTTTTTCTTTCAGTTTTTTATCTGGTGGATTACATTGATGGATTTCTGTATATTGATCCACCCCCTGCATACCTGGGATGAAGCCTACTTGGTCATAGCAGATGATATCTTTGATGTGTTCTTGGATTTGGTTTGTGAGTATTTTGTTGAGTATTTTTGCATCAATGTTCATGAGGGAGATTGGCCTGAAATTCTCTTTCTTTGTTGGATCTTTGTGAGGTCTAGTATCAGAATGACTGTCGCTTCATAGAATGAGTTTGGTAATGTTCCTTCTGTTTCTATTTTGTGGAATAGTTTGAAGAGTATTGGTGTTAGCTCTTCTTTGAAGGTCTGATAGAATTCTGCGCTACAAACCATCTGGCCCCGGGCTTTTTTTGCATGGGAGAATTTTGATGACAGCCTCTATTTCCTTAGGGGATATAGGACTATTTAATTGATTTACCTGTTCTTGATTCAGCTTTGGCAATCAATCAAGTGGAATCGATCAAGAAAATTGTCCATTTCATTTAGATTTTCAAATTTTGTGGCATATAGGCTTTTGAAGTAAGACCTAATGATTGTCTGGATTTCCTCAGTGTCTGTAGTTATGTCCCCCTTTTCATTTCTGATTTTGTTGATTTGGATGGTGTCTCTCTGCCTTTTAGTTAGTTTGGCCTTTTAGTTAGTTTGGCTAAGAGTTTGTCTATCTTGTTGATTTTCTCAAAGAACCAGCTCTTGGTTTCATTGATTCTTTGAATTGTTTTACTTGTTTCTAATTTATTGATTTCAGCCCTGAGTTTATCTCCAGCCATCTACTCTTCTTGGGAGTGTCTGCTTCTTTTTTTTCCCCTAGGGCTTTCAGGTAAGCCTTTAAGTTGCTTGTATGAGATATTTCAAATTTCTTCTTGAAAGCACTAAGTGCTATGAATTTTCCTCTTAACACTGCTTTCATTGTGTCCCATGAGTTTGGATATGCTGTGCCTTCATTTTCATTGAATTCTAGGAAGTTTTTTATTTCTTTCTTTATTTCTCCCCAGACCCAACTGTCACTGAGTAGCGAGTTGTTCAGTTTCCATGTGTGTGTAGGCTTTTTGCTGTTTCTGTTGTTGAGGTCCAGCTTTAGTCCATGGTGGTCAGACAGGATACAAGGGATTATTTCAGTCTTCTTGTATCTGTTGAGGTTTGCTTTGTGACCAACTATATGATCTATTTTGGAGAAGGTTCTATGAGGTGCTGAGAAAAAGGTAAATTCTTTTGTGTTTGGTTGAAAGGTTCTCTGTAGATGTCTCTTAGGTCCATTTGATTCATGACCTCTGTCAGAGTCATTGTTTCTTTGTTTAATTTCTGTTTTGTTGAATTGTCCTTTGCTGAGAGTGAGGTGTTGAAGTCTCCCACTATTAATGTGTGGGAATCTATGTGTGTTTCAGTTTTATTAATGTTTTTTTTTACAAATGTGTGTGCTCTTGTATTTGGGGCATAGATGTTCAGAACTGTAATATCTCTTGGTGGAATTTTCCTTTGATGAGTATGAAATGACCTTCCCTATTTCTTTTGATTAATTTTGGTTGAAATCTATTTTATTAGATATTAGAATGGCTACTCCTGCTTGTTTCTTGGATCCATTTGCTTGGAAAACCATCTTCCAGCCCTTTACTCTCAGGTAATGTCTATCTTTGTGACTTGGGTGTGTTTCTTGTATGCAACAGATTGTTGGATCTTGTTTACGTATCCATTCCATTAGTCTTTGTCTTTCTATTGGAGGGTTGAGTCTATTGATGTTGAGAGAGGTTAATGATCAGTGGCTGTTAGATGCTTTGATTTTGCTGTTGGTTGCGGCAGTGTGTTTGTGTGCTTGGGTACTTTTTGTTTTGCTGTAGTGAGGTTATTTATTTCCTGTGTTTTCCTGAATGTAGTTAGCTTTCCTGGGTTGTACTTTTCTTTCTAGTATCTTCTGTAATGCTGGATTTGTGGGTAGGTATTGTTTAAATTTGTTTTTGTCATTGAATATCTTGTTTTCTTCATCTACGATGATTGAGAGTTTTGCTGGGTATAGTAGCCTGGGCTGACATCTGTGTTCTCTTAGGGTCTTCATGATATCTGTACAGGCTCTTCTGGCTTGCATAATCTCTGTTGAGAAGTCAGGTGTGATTCTGATTGGTTTGCCATTATATGGTACTTGGCCTTTTTCCCTTGCAGCTTTTAGTAGTTTTTATTTGTTATGTTTTCTTACTGTTTTGATTATTATGTGGCGGGAGGATTTTCTTTTCTGGTCTAATTTATTGGGTGTTCTGTAGGTCTCTTGTATTCTTATGGGCCTCTCCTTTAAGTTGGGGAAATTTTCTTCTATGATTTTGTTAAAAATATTTTTCTGGGCTTGGGAGGAGGGAATCTTCTTTTTCCTCTATTCCTATTATTCTTAGGTTTTGTCTTTTCATGTTGTCTTGAATTTCTTGGATGGTCTGTGTCAGGAATTCTTTAGATTTAACATTTTATTTGATGGATATATTGATTTCTTCCATTGTATCTTCCACACCTGAGATTCTTTCTTCCATCTCTTGTAGTCTATTGGTTATACTAACCTCTGTAGTTCTTGTTTTCTTCTCTAAATTCTTCCTCTCCATGATTTCCTCCATTTGTGTTTTCTTTAATTTTTCCAATTCTATCTTCATATCTTGAGCCATTTTGTGGATCTCCTTCACCTGTCTGACTGTATTTTCCTTCAATTCCTTCAGCTGTTTGAACATTCCTTTGTTTCTTTTCTTTCTCTAAAGACCACAAACTGGCTACATTTTTCTGTATTTCTTTACCGATGCCCATAATCTGTTTGTCTCTATCTTCCTGTATCTCTTTATGGATGGCCATAATCTGTTTGTCTTTATCTTCCTCTAATTCTTTATGCATTTTATTTGTTTCCTCTATTATTCTCTTATGAGCATAGATGTAAGGTCATCTTCTTGAATTTCATTTATGCTGGGGTGTTCAGGACTACTTACCCCTGGATAACTGGGTTCTGGAGATGCCATATTGCTATGTCTTTTGTTGGTTGAGCTTTTATTCTGGCCTCTATCCATTGGGCTATCTTAGGCGCTTGGCTGTTAGTTTCTGGTGCTTCCTGGAATCCTGGGATAGGGAAAAGCCCCTTGGCAGGAAGATTTTTCCTGAAGGAGGCTGTCTCAGCTTTTTGGATAAATCACTGAATGGCTGGTGTTTCTCAGGAATTGCCACAGCTCACCTTAGGCACATAGCCCTGAGTGGTAACTGTTGTCTCTGTTAGTCAGGGGGGCTCTCCTCTCATCTGGAAAAGTCCTGGAGACAGCTGCCTTGCTGCTGAGTTTCTTGCTCTGAATTTAGTGAGCTGTTGCTGTTGTTTTTACATTGTTTTCTAGGCACAGCCTTCTTGAAGAACCTGGGAGGCCTGCAGTTTGTTCAGTTTAGTTAGGGATAACTGGTTGCCCCCTTGGAGCAGTATCTGGGGGCTGATCTCGGGGATTCCAGGCTTCTGTAGTTCTAAGGTTGGAGCTCTGTGCCCCAGTACCCACGCGGAAATCAGTGGTAGTAAACACAGCTCTCATGTGTGCAGCAGGAGACTAGAGCCTGGAGCCTGCAGGAACCAAGAAACTTTGCTGGATCTGGGTGTCCTGAGGTTCGACCAGATGTTCCCCCCACCACCATGGGGTTTCCTCCCAACAGGGTGACCCAGTCTGTGGTGTTTGGGTTCCACAGTTCCGTCCAGGGTGGCGTGTAGAGCACGCGGGTCAGTGTTAGCTCCAAGCTGGCGACTGGGCTCCTGCAGGAACCTGGGAACTTTTCCTTGGGTGGGTGGGACCTACTGTTTTCCTCTAAGCTCGGACCTACTGTTTTCCTCACTGTGGGGTTTTCTTCCAACAGGTAAACCCAGTCTCTGGTATCCTGGGGCCCACAGTTCTGTCTGGGATAGTGAGTCGGGTGTGTAGCAGGTCTCTGTGCTCTCAGCTGAGTACCCTGCCCTGGGCTGGCAGCTGTGCACCCAATCTGGGCTAGTGACTGTGCGCCTATCGGTCTCCAGGTTTTCGAGGGATTGACTGGGTGACCTGAGGTTAATTCCGTTTGCTATCCTCACTGTGGGGTTTTCTCTCAATTAAAAATCTCAGTCTCTGGTGTTTTGGTGCCCACAGTTAAGCCTAGGAGAGTGATCAGGACACGCAGGTGTGTGGCTCAGGGCTATGGAATGAGTGCCTGCCAGGACCCAGGAACTCTTCCACGTTTTAGCTGGGTGGCCTGAGAGTGGACCCAATCGTGCGGTTTCATCTCACCTGGGAGAAACAATCGCTGGTGTTTTAGGACCCAGAGTTCAGTCTCCTGGTCGCTGTGCCAACACTGCTGTCCTGCTCCTCAGACACAGTGTCCTCCCAGTGCCGCCATCTGGGATCTGCTCAAGATGTTAATTTTTTAAAAAAATCTGTGTTTCTCTCTCCTCCAGCCTTGCCCTCGAGGCCGCCATGCCGCCCTGGCCACCTGTCTCTAAAACCCTCTGGCTTCTACCACCAAGACCGATGGCACTCGACGTTCTGTTCCAGCCGCTCCTTCCCCACTGCGGACAGCATCCTGAGCTGCCTGGCTGGCCGCATCGTCTACATGATGGGGGACTCCACCCTCCGGCAGTGGTGGGAGTATCTGCGGGACACGGTGCCCTGTGAGCGAGCACGAGGGGAGCATGCGTGCAGTCAGGGTGCAGAAGGCAGACGCAACGGTGCTGAGGCCCCGGCTTAGCGGACAGGCGGGGCAGGATGCTGGTCTTCCTGAAGGCACCTGAGTGGAGGCGTGAGCTGGTTTGCTCTGTTTTATGAGGCAGGGTCTCACTACGAACGTAGCCCTGGTTGGCCTGGAACTCCCTTTGTGATCAAGATGTCCTCAGAGTCACAGAATCCACCTGCCTGTGCACACTGAACGGTAGATTTAAAGGCATACTCCACCAAGCCCAGCCTGGTTGAGTTTTAACAACTCTGTGTCTGTGTGTGTGTGAGTACATGTCATGGCACAGGTCCTGTGGAGGTCGCAGGACAGCTCTCAGAAGTCACTTCTC